GAAAAGATTTGAAGGAATTGGAGAGCTGGCCATATAATGCCTATGAGAAGAACATTCCTAGTAAGAGAAATAACAAGGCAGAACTGTAAGGAATATGCTTACCTGGTGTATGGGTAGGCCAGAAACAGTGAGTGCCTTCAATCAAACATTTGGAACAGATAATTCCAAGTCTTTCTGGAAAAGGAAAATGGCTCAGTTTATCAGGTTGACATAAATAATCAAGCAGCATGCACAAAAATAAAATCATAGACCTATCTTCCCCATGAAAAATTTTCTTGCAAAATATTAGGCATCAATTTTAGTCCATTTTGTGTTGCTTAACAAAAATCTGAGGCTGGGTCATATATAAATATGTAAAAAGAAAAGAGGTTTATTTGGCTCACAATTCTAGTAGATGAAAACTCCAAACTGTATCATGCAGTATCTGGTGAGGGTCCCCTGGCTATATCACAACATGGCTGGGAAGGGGAAAGGGAAACACTCAAATACAGAAAAGACATGAGTGTGAGAAAAGAAGGCAGAGAGCAAGGAGGGCCCATGATGCCTCTTTTATTACAATGCTCTCTGGCAGGAACTAATCCACATCTACAGAATGATGAAATAGCATTAATCCATTCATGACGGTGGAGCCTTTGTGACCTAATTTCCTTCCCCAAGGCCTCATCCCTTAATGGTTCTACCACCTTCACACCACCACCCTGGGGACTAAGCTTCCAGGACATGAACCTTTAAGAGACAAATTGCATCCAAACCATCGCAGCATCCAAAGCCATAAATATATTTTAATATACAAAAGACAGTACATACTACAGCATGACTTCATTGGGTGTATCCCAGGAATGTGGGGTTTCCATAACTTTAGAAAATTATTAATTTACCACCTATTAAGATTAAAAAGTAAGAAAACTTTACATTCTCCAGAAATATAGAGGAAAAAACATTTGATAAATACTCATTTATATAAATTTAATTAGAAATAAAATTAAAACTTCAAAACAAACAGTAATAAAAGGTTGCTTCCTTAATTATATAAAGTAAATTGTAATATTAAAGAGGGAAAAACTCTAGTAAACAACTAACTTAACAATAAAAAATCAAAAGCATTTCCCTGTAAGGTCAAGAATAAATAAATAATGGCCCCTTCACTATACCTGGTCAACATCATACTGAAGAATCCAGCCAGTAGTGTACCATCAAAAAAAAAAAAAAAAAAAAAAGAATAAAGATTGGAAACATGGAATGAATAGCTGGCTTTGTGGGTGATATAATCAAAATAGAAACTCAAAAGGAATGTAGTAAAATTAATATAGGAATATATAGTAAATTAATATGTAGGACTATGTAGTCAAATTAATATAAGAATATTAGTTAGTAAGATTGCTTAGATGCAAATTCTACTCGCATATTCAATTGCTTTTCTATATGCCAGAAATAATTCAACAATATAATTTAAAAGACAATATGATTTGTTACAAGAACAACATACTGAGGAATAAATCCAGGAAAAAATGTACAAGATCTGTGTAGGGGGGAATGATAAAACTTTAAGAGACATTAATGTTCTAAATAGGTAGAGAGAAATACCCTGTTTTATAATAATGAAGTTCAGTTGCAAAGATGTCCAGGGACCCATATTGATCTGCATATTTAATTCAGTTCCAATCAAAATCCTAATTGGATTTTTTTATAGAATTAAAACATTATGCTAAGTGAAATCAGTCAAACACAAAAGGACACATACTGTGTGATTCCACTTATTTGAGAAACTGGTAGATTTATGGAGATGGAAAGAATAGAGGTTACCAGGTTCTGGGATGGGAAAGTGGAAGTTATTGATGAAAAAGTTCTGGAAACAGACAGTAGTGATGGTTATACAACACAGCAGAATGAAAGAATTGTTTTGTTTTTGATACTGAGGGTAGAACCCAGGCATGCTTTACTACTGAGCTGAGCTACATCCCTGGATCTTTTTATTTTTTATTTTGCAATAAGCTCTCGCTAAATTGCTGAGATTGGTCTCAAATTTGTGATTCTACTATCTTAGCCTCCTGAGTTTTGGGGATTATATGCATGCACCACCACACTGGGAAGTATAAAAGAGTTTTGCATAGTTTTTCATTCTAATGGATATTTGGTATTGTTCAACTTTTTAAATATTTGCCAATTTGAGAATGTGAGATTGAAGGTTAGATATATGAAGAGTCTGCTAAAGTAAATAAGTGCTGATGCCACATTCTAACCCTGGTTCATTTGATTCCAACTCTAATAGGCAGGATTTCACAGAAATAGAAAAATATAGGCTTTTTATAACAATGAGTAGTTATGAAAAATGTGATTTTTTATGTTAAAATAATTTTATGTTAGCACTTCCTTTTGGAAAGTATTTCTGAAAATGTGATTTTAGATTAACTGGGTCAGAATCATCTGGTACTATTGAGATGGGTGTTACTTATTAGAAGTCAGCAGATTCCTGCCTGGATTCATCTCTAGTTGTACTATAGGAGTGGGATCTAAATATGCTTACATTTTTAACCAGTTCCCCTGGTTTGGTTTTTGCTTTTTAATAAACCCTGAAATTTAAAAACCTCTGCTTAAATGGTTCAGCTAATTGTGTTTAGAATTTAGTAGATTTTATTACCTATTGTTTCAAAAACTTTGATTTATCAAATAATTAGAACATTTTTAATCATAAAACCTGAGTTCAGCAGGAAAAAAAAATTATATAACTATTGTCCTTAAAAAATGAAATTGACAGAATGTTAATTATCAAATACCTAGATTTTTATAGGAATCATTAATAGTTTTTTTTTTTGAAATTTTTTTAATATTTATTTTTCAGTTTTCGGTGGTCACATCTTTATTTTTATTTTTATGTGGTGCTGAGGATCGAACCCAGCGCCCCGCGCATGCCAGGGGAGTGAGTTACCACTTGAGCCACATCCCCAGCCCATTAATAGTTTTCAAAATCATGCTTATTTCCAAGTTAACTTAATTTTTATAGTTTGATTATTTTGTTGCAACATTAAATGATTACATTAAGGGATCAAAGTCATACTTTGTAAAAGAGATTTAACAAAAACTGAAAATGATACATGACAGTTTGTATGTCATGCTTTCAAAACTGGGGCTTTAAATCCTATATTATATGTAGAAGTTTTAGCTATTCCAAAGTACAATAAGAGATTATTGTTCATATCAGTGTAATAAATTGATACTCCCTGATTGTACTTTTTCATTTTGTACATTGTCAGAACCTTGGACCTTAATCTTATTCTTTGATTGACAGTAGCGACCAGGGAAAGAACACTTGTATTGTTTGGGATAGTCACATCTGTTCAACTTGATTCAGTTGAAGGTATTTGCATATTCTTAAGTATTTTTTCTGAGAGGGCTTAAATCCTTCTCAAGTGCTTGATGCATATTTGAAATTCATTCACAGGGTATCTACATGCACTAATAGTTCTGTATAATATTGCTGTGCATAATCTGACAGATAAGACCACATTTTAAAACAAGGTGTTCTTTAGGGCTGTTATATTGCATTTTTACTTATTCTGCTGGGCAGAAATGTCATATTTTTGAGGTCTGTTTTAATGTTTTGATTAAACTAGTATATCCTTATTTTAGGCAGATTTGTCAATCGTAGGACAAATAAAGATTTATTAAATAAAATTTCAAAGATATTAATGGAAGTTCTTCTTGCCTTGGTTGGAACATTTTATAGAAAATAATTGCAGGACTTCAATGGATTTGTTTAGCTCCTCTTTATTTTTCAGGGAAGGTCACTGAGATTCAAGTGTCCTGACTTGTTCAAGGTCACCCAACTTAGACATTCAGCCTTAAATGTTGCTCTCAACTGCCAGATCAGTAAATGTTAAGAAATAATAGTGTATATATATATATATATATATACATATATATATATATATAACCTCTGATTGATGTCATTAAAAAATTATCCATAAAATGTTTTCCTTTCCATTAGAAACACACTCAAGAATTATGTGTTATTCATCATCATATCCCTTCAGAATTTACAGTGCTTTACATGTAATTAATGCCTAGTCATTATTTTGCTGTTTTGTTTCAATTAGGAAATATGATGGCTTAAACACCTTCAATAGCAGACAGGTTTCATTTTGTGTTTCATTTCTGATGAATTGGCAATAGCAATGTCGAGAAGAATTTTGAAATTTGCTGGGGTTAGTTAGCAGTGCTGCCATGAACCTGAGATCAGAGACCTGTTTCTTCCTTTAAATGTGTGATCTTATGGAAGTGAGAGAGAATTACAAACTGGAATGATTGGAAAAGTTCTTTGGAAAGAAATAAGGCTCAAATGACAGTATAGATAGAATTTAGATAATATAGGCAAAAAAGAGGAAGAATGCCACCTAGGGTAGAAGTTCTGTAAAAAATTTTGAGTGTTTAGAAAGGAGAAATATTAGTAGGTTACACTGTTTCATTAAGTACAGTGAAAGGAAGGAAAACCATTGTTAGCCCAGTGTTAGAGTCTTTTTTCACAGTAAATCTGGAAACACTTTGTCCTTGTTTTTATTCCTTGCTTTTCCTTTCCCAAGATATTTAGAGTTTTCTAGTCTTTCCTTTTTTCCACCTGTACTCTCTTTCTAATTTCTTATCTGCCTTACTTAGATATAAAAGCTATGATGAAACCTCATCATGATTTTATTTATTACTATGTTATAGGAGTTAATTGGAGAAGGAAGTTCTCAGCTGTTATTAACTTTTATTATTTGGGGGCTGGGGTTTTGGCTCAGTGGTAGAGCGCTTGCCGAGCATGCATGAGGCACTGGGTTCGATCCTCAGCACCACATGAAAATGAAATTTGTGTGTCTACTTAAAAGTAAAAATAAATGTTTTTTTTTTAATTTATTGTTTGGCTATCAGATAACTCCAAAATACATAATCTTTAAAAATGTATTTATTTATTCATTTGTTTGTTTATTTATTTATTTATGAGTGTGTGTGTTTGTGTCTTCTAGGAATCCCCTTCTGGTCGAAGGAAAGCTCTTGCTACTAGCAGCATCAATATGAAACAGTATGCAAGCCCTATGCCAACTCAGACAGATGTCAAGTTAAAATTCAAGCCATTGTCTAAAAAAGTTGTATCTGCCACTCTCCAGTTTTCATTATCTTGCATTTTCCTTCGGGAAGGAAAAGCCACGTAAGTTTCTTTTGTCAAATAAGCTGCTTCATTCACAGTGTGTTTCAAGACACCACAAGTAAAGAACTTTTTGGCTCAGCAGACTAGTATTAGTTGAACATCATATAACATAGCCATCATTCTTTATTTCATAGACTGAGTTAAATAAACTCCTTGTTATTTATAAATAGCCTCTTTTGATTCCAAAAAATGAACTATAGTATAAAACTATATATAATAACTGATTTCAAATTTTGAAATTGGATATTATAGGGTATCATAAGTGTTTATCTTCATTGTAGCAGCCTGTAGTCTAAAGTACAGACAGATAAATTTGTAGAGCTACTTGATGCAACTAAGTAGTGAGAGGAACCCTAAATAAAAAATTTAGGATAAAAGGGATGAAAGAATTAAGGAAACTTTTTGCCAATTCATGTTTCTTGGCTCAACCTTCCAAAAATTGCTTAGAAAAGTATATGCAGATAAACAATTTACCATGATTATTATCCTTTTAAAAAATCACTTCTATGTAAAGCAGTGGTGTGCACCTGTATCCCCATTACTCAGGATGCTGAGGTAGGAGGATTGCTTAGCCTAGGATTTCAAGACCAACCCAGGCAACAAAAGCAAGACCTTGTCTCAAAAAATAAAAATCAAAAATTACTTTTTAAACACTGATTAAGCATTGCACAGATTTCTAGACTTGAGTCTAGTCTCTTAAAAGAGTAAAATTCTGATTAGATTAAAACATAGAACAGGAGGGGAAAAGTATCAGTTCACTCTGGTTATTGCATACAGTTAGAGTAAATGCATGCTATTGGTTTAATGAAAGAGTTTGTACCTCCTTGAAGTAAAAGATGAAGGAATGAGATAAATGGAAAAGCTATTCTTAGAATTTCCTATTAAAGGTGAGGGGAAAAGGTAGCTATGAACGTTTCAATCCAATCCAATCCAAAATCACAGTTCTGAACATATCTGACCTAGTGGAATGTGGTTTAGTAACCACAATTATAGTTAATTGGCCATGTCTACTTGAATGATAAGAATGGATTCTGTTTATTGCTCAAAATGAGATGATTGACACTTGTCTACATGGTAGCAAATAACTTGGCAGATAACAACAATAAGCCTCCTCTCAGAGAAGTTAGGTTCTAAGTGAGTGTGGTTAGTCCAGAATGAAAACATCTTAGTCTTTCATCTCAGGACCTTAAACTGTAGGCAAAAATACAGTGATATTAAAAATATCTTATCCTGAAGTTTAAGCCAAAAAGAAAGGAAAGGAAACATAGAAAGAAGAGAGAAACAAATTCAGAGCAGATCCTTTGAGGGTGGACTTCCTTCCATTGGAAGGATTCAAAACCATTCACAGTAATCTGGGTGAGAAGAAATTCAGCTATATCAAATGTCTCAATTTGAATTGAATGGAGACTCTCAGAAATCCCTGAATTTCTTCTTTACCTACTTCTTTTTTTTTTTTTTTTAAGATTATTTCCATTAAATTTAATGACTATGTTTTATGATTCAGATTATAAAGATCTTAATCATTGCAATAATATTTGTAATAATATACAATGTAACTTATTTTCTCTTCCCAATTTCATTTATCACCCTTATATTTCTAATGACTGCATGCCCTTTAATACCTAAAGGATTCTTTTTTTTTTTTTAGAAATTTATTGGTTGCTCAAAACATTACATTGATCTAGACACATCATATATCATACATTTGTTTCAAATGGGGTATGAATTCTTATTATTCCCCCGTTTACAGATTGCAGAATCACGTTGATTACACAGCCACGGTTATACATACTGCCAAACAAGTGTCTGTTGTATTCTGCTGCCCTTCCTATCCTCTTCCTATCCCCCCCTCCCCTCCCCTCCCCTCCCTCTACCCCAGCTACCATAACTCACTTCTCTCACTCTCTCTTATTTTTATATTTATTTTTTTTCCTTCCCTTCGCCTCACATCCTCTTTTATGTATTTTTGTATAACATGGCGGGTCTCCTTTCCTCTTCCGTGCAATTCCCCCTCTCTCTCCTATTTCCTCCCACCTCTCGTCCCTGTTTGATGATAATCTTCTTTCTATCTACTTCTTCCATACTTACTTACCTTCCCCAACGAAAAATGTTCAGGGTTAAAATATAAGTAAATTAAAGTGAAAATATTAAGCAAATTAACTTTTTAGGAATGATATCTTTTGAAATTAAAAATTTTTAATATTTTTGAGTCTGTATGTCATCTGATATGCAACTATACTATTGATTGATTGATTGATTGATTGATTTTTGATGCTGGAGATTGAACTCAGGGGTTCTTTACCACTGATCTATATCCCAGTCCCTTCAATTTTTTATTTTGAGACAGGGTTTTAAGTTGCTGAATGCCTCACTAAATTGCTGAGGCTGCTTTGGAACTTGCAATCTTCCTGTCTCAGCCTCCCAAATTGCTGGGATTATAGTTGTGCACCACTGCACCTGACTTATCCTATTGCTTTATGAATAGCATACAGATTTAAATTAACTCCTAATAGGTTAGTTTTTAATTTTCCTCTCTTTTTACTCATTAAACATGCTATTTAAAAATTAATGAATAGGACTACTTAGATTATTCAATTTTCTTATACAAGTGTTTAAAAAGACTTATTTGCAGATTTACAGAAATAAAGAATATATTACTATTATAGATTGATATCCCTTATCCTAATGCTTAGGACCAGAAGTGTTTCAGATTTCAGATTTTTTTAGATATTGGAATATTTACATGTACACAATGAGGCATCTTGGGGATGGGACCAAGTCTAAACACTAAATTTGTTTGTTTCATAGACACCTTATACACCTTATATGCCTGAAGGTAATTTTATACAGTTTTTTAGTGCACCGGAAGTTTCACTACAACCTATCATGTGAACTTGGGTATGCAATTTTTCTCTTGTGGCATTCTTTCAGTGGCTTCAAAAGTTTGGGACTTGGAAACATTTGGATTTTGAATTTTCAGATAAAGGATGCTCAGCCTGTATGTCTTAAGAAATAATACTTTTTCAAGCAATGTCATTTAAATTAACTGTATTATAATTTGATTATGTCTTTAATCATTAATGTAGTGATGAAGACATGCAAAGTTTGGCTAGTTTGATGAGTATGAAGCAAGCTGACATTGGCAATTTGGATGACTTTGAAGAAGATAATGAAGATGATGATGAGAACCGAGTGAACCAAGAAGAAAAGGCAGCAAAAATTACAGGTTAGTTTTATTATCATTAAACCAAAAGGTTTCTCTTGTTTTGAAGAGTTGAAACATTATTTACCAGAAAAAAAAAATTCCACTAAGATATTTTTCCTTAAACCGTTTAGTTCTCTGAAAACTTTTTATGCTTATTATAATTGAACAGATTTTTAGCAGTTTAAGATCAAGTCCAAAGATAATCAAAGAAACATAAAATTCTTTGCTGTAATTTCAGAATTATAGTATAAAGCAACTTAAATATGCTCGTATTTTTTGTCAATGTATGAATGAAACCTCTGACATAAAGATATGCCTTAAAGGGATGATAAGACAAAACAAGAAGATAAACAAGAAGCTTCTCCTAGCTCATGTTCATATAGTTACATGAATTATATGGATATTCTGTTTCAGATTTGCATATATTTATGAAAATATGCCATGAAGCTATCCCTTCTGGTTGGTTTGATCAAACTACTAAGATGTTAAGTAGTTAGAACCTCCTTTTTAATCGTTGGCTAATAGTTATTGCTAATCTGGTTATTACACAGAGGAACTGATTTTTACTTTATTGGTGTGAAAATCAAGTACTATTTATATATTTCTTTTAGTTAATTAACTGCTCTAAATTTCTGGATTGATGTCCCTTCACTACTATGTGATCAATTCTTGTTTTTTTTCCAAATGAATTGGTACTTTGGTATTTATCTCTTGGCTTTGCCTCAATTCTTGCTACCACATGGGGATCAATCACATTGATCACCGTGTAAATCCTTAGCCAAAACGTTCCTAGACTTTGTTCCAGTCACTTTCACTTCTGCTCCACATCTAGAAATCTACCATGAGAAACAAATCAGGCTTGTATGTAACAGTACATGTTTTGTCATGTGCAGATTTTATAAATTATTATTTTCTAATTTGTGATTGAAATTGATTTTTTTTTGATCCAAGATTGTTCAGGAGTGTTTATTTCGAGTTTGTTTATTTCTAGTGTATTAATTCAATAAGATTCAAAAGTTCTTTGGATTTCAAGTTTTAGAAAACATTTTATTGATGTTTTTTCTTGGTCTAATTATGTCATGTATTTTTGTAAATTTTTCGTAAATATCTTTTTTATGTGGACATTCTATTTGTTACCTTCATCATTAAGTCAGACTTTTCATTTATATTATTTGTATTGTTATTCTTTTTGTATAGTTCATCTGTTAAAGACAGAGCATGTCAATGCTAAATTAATTTACCAAAAAAGTTTATTCTTTTATAACTTCATTCTCATTTGTATGCTTGCCCCATTTAATGCCTCATGCCTTGAAATTTTACTTTATATTGATATTTTTAACATACTTAATTTGGGGGACATATTTATCCCTTTATTTAGAATATTTATATTTCTCTTATAAATAGCATATGGCTAATCTAACCTTATAATATTTGGCCTTTAATATTATATGTCTTGATAACTGACATACTTAATTTCATTTATATTATTTCTTTTTGTACTTTTATTTTGTGTCTTTTCTTAGTGATTTTCTCACCTGTTCCCCAAATTTTGCCACTCTTAAGAATTTTTAATCAAATATTTTAATAGAATAATTTGGAAAATATATATTCTATTTTTATATTAGAGTAGTAGTATATTAAAACGCTAGATAGTTAAATGAATAAACCCATCCATCAATACTAACATAAAAAGTAAAATAGAATCTATTGACTCTTTTTAAAATTTTTTAATTCTTTTTAGATATACATGACAATAAAGTATATTTTGACATATTATACCTGGAGTATAATTTCCCATTCTTGTGGTTGTACACAATGTTGAGTTACACTAGTCTTGTATTTATATATGAACACAGGAGTCTGATTCATTCTACTGTCTTCCCTATTTGCATCTCCCTTCCTTTCCCTTCATTCCCCTTTGTCTAATCCTATGAACTTCTATTCTTTTCTTCCCCTTACCCCGTCTTATTGTGTGTTAGCATCACATATCAGAGAGAATGTTTGGCTTTTGGTTTTGGTGGGATTGGCTTATTTCACTTAGCATGATAATCTCCAGTTCATTTACCAGCAAATGCCATAATTTCATTCTTCTTTATGGCTGAGTAATATTCTATTGTGTATATAACATTTTCTTTATCCATTCATCTATTGATGGGGCCTAGGTTGGTTCCATAGCTTAGCTACAGTGAATTGAGCTGCTGTAAATATTGATGTAGCTGTATTATGGTAATATGCTGATTTTTTAAAAAAAAAAACTTAGTTGTAGATAGACATAATGCATTTATTTTGTTATTTATGTTTTATGTGGTGCTGAGGATCAAACTCAGTGCCTCATACATGCAAGGCAAGCGCTCTACCACTGAGCTACAACCCTAGCCCCAGTAGTATGCTGATTTTAAGTTTTTGGGGTACATACCAAGGAGTGGGATAACTGGGTCAAATATGGTTCCATTCCAGGTTTTCTGAGGAATCTCCATACTGCTTTCCAGAGTGGTTACACCAATTAACAGTCCCACCAGCAATGTATGAGTGTACCTTTTCCCCCACATCATTGCCAACATTTATTATTACTTGTGTTCTTGATAATTGCCATTCTGACTAGAGTGAGAATCTCAGTATAGTTTTGATTTGCATTTCTCTAAATGCTAGAGATGTTGAACATTTTTTTTATGTTTGTTAATTGATTGTATTTCTTCTTCTGTGAAGTGTTCGTTCAGTTCCTTTCCCATTTATTTATTGAGTTGTTACATTATTATTATTATTATTATTATTAGTAGTAGTAGTAGTAGTAGTAGTAGTAGTAGTATTAAGTTTTTTGAGTTCTTTATATATTCTGGAGATTAATGCTCTGTCTGAGGTACATGTGGCAAAGATTTTCTTCCATTCTGTAGGCTCTTTCTTCACATTCTTCATTATTTTCTTTGCTGTGAAGAAGCTTTTTAGTTTTATACCATCCCATTTATTAATTCTTGATTTTACTTCTTGTGCTTTAGGAGTCTTGTTGAGAAATTTGGTTCCAGAGCCAACATGATGGATTATTTGGGCATATTTTTTCTTCTAGTAAGCACAGGGTAATGCCCAGGTCCTTGGACTACTTTTGAGTTGAGTTTTGTGCAAGGTGAGAGATAGGGGTATAAATACATTTTGCTGCATGTGGATTTCCAGTCTCCCCAGCACCATTTGCTGAAGAGGCTTTCCTTTCTCCAATGTATGTTTATGGCACCTTTGTCTAGTATGACATAACAGTATTTATGTGGGTTTATCTCTGTGTCTTCTATTCTGTACTTTTGGTCTTCATGTCTGTTTTGGTGCAAATACCATTCAATTTTGTTGTTGTTGTTGTTGCTTGTTTGTTTTTACCAAGTCGTTCATTTTTGTTTTTCTATCTCTGTAGTATAATTTAATGTCTGGTATTGTGATGCCTCCATTTCATTTTTTCTCACTAGGGATTGCTTTGGGTATTCTGGGTCTCTTATTTTTCCAAATGAATTTTATGACTGCCTTTTCTATTTCTATGAAGAATGTCATTGGAATATTAATAGGAATTGCATTAAATATGTACACCACTTTTGTTAGTATGGTCATTTTGACAATATTAAGTCTGCCTATCCAGGAATATGGATTCATCTTCAAAGTTCTTCAATTTCTTACTTTAATGTTCTGTAGTTTTCATTTTAGAGGTCTTTGACATCTTTTTTTAGATTGATTCTCAATTTTTTTTCCCAAGGCTATTGTGAATGGGATAGTTTTTCTAATTTCTCTTTCTATTGATTCCTCACTGATGTATAGGAATGCAGTTGATTTATGGGTGTTAATTTTTATCCTGCTACTTTGCTGAATTCATTTATGAGTTCTAGAAGTTTTCTGGTGGAGTTTTTTGGGTCTTCTAAATATAGAATCATGTCATCAGCAAATAAGGATAGTTTGAGTTCTCCTTTTCAATTAGTATTCCTTTAATTTCTTCTGGCTAGAGTTTCAAGGACTAAGTTGAATAGAAGTGGTGAAAAAGGGCATCCTTGTCTTGTTTCAGTTTTTAGAAAGAATGTTCTCAATTTTTCTCAATTTAGAATGATGTTGGCCTTGGGTTTAGCATATACAGTTTTCACAATGTTGAGGTATATTCCTACTATCCTTAGTTTTTCTGGTGTTTTGAACAGGAATGGATGCTGTATTTTCTCAAATGCTTTTTTCTGTATTTATTGAGATAATCTAGTCTTTAAATCTATTGATGGGATGAATTATGTTTATTGATTTCCATATGTTGAACCAACCTTGAATTTCTGGGATGAAGCCTACTTGGTCATGGTGCACTATTTTTTAATATGTTTTTGTATGTAATTTGCCAGTATTTTATTAAGAATTTTTGCATCTATGATCATCAGGGATATTGTTCTGAAGTTTTGTTTTCCTTCTTTGGTGTGTCTTTGTCTGGTTTTGGTATCGGGGTGATACTGGGTTCATAGAATTAGTTTGGAGAAGGGTTCCCTCCTTTTCTCATTCATGGAATAATTTGAGAAAGATTGGTGTTTGTTCTTCTTTGAATGTCCAGTAGAACTCAGCTGAGAATCCATCTAGTCTTGGACTTTTCTTTGTTAGTAAGCTTTTTATTTTATTTTTATTTATTTACTTTTTTTGTGTGTGTGGTTGTAGATGGACAGCATGCCTTTATTTATTTTTATGTGGTGCTAAGGATTGAACCCAGTACCTCACACATGCTAGACAAGCGCTTTGCCACTGAGCTACAACCCCATCCGCATGTTTGTAGGCTTTTATTTATTTTTTTTATTTCTTAGGTTTTTTTAGGTAGACACAATATCTTTATTTTGGTTTTTTTTTTTTTTTGTTGTTGTTTGTTTGTTTTTTGTTTTTTTTATGTGGTGCCGAGAATCAAACCCAGTGCCTCACGCGTGCTAGGCAAGCGCGCTACCACTTGAGCCATATCCCCAGCCCGTTAGTAGGCTTTTGTTGGTGTCTTCCATTTCATTGCTTGAAATTGATCTGTTTAGATTTTCTATGTCCTC